ACTCAAGCTGGTGTTGCAGATTTAGGGGTTCAGGGCTTGAATCTATTCTGTAATATAAAGCCTTGGAGAGCAGGGTATGTGCCCATTGCTCTTTGGATGCTCGTGTGCCTAGCATATAGTAGGTGTTCAATGTATATCTGTTGAATGCATGTTGAATGAATGCCTTTGAGGCATTGCACAATATTGAAGAATGCATGCTATACTTTAAAAAATTGCCTTCACATTTATATAATGCTCTGGCTTTCTTGCTGCTTTGTAAAACACTACTGTCATCAATACATAATTTATTATTTATTAGTTAATTGTTTAATCATCAGTTTATTTCCATTATTTATTATTTATTTATCAATGTATTGATTCATAAACCATATTTAGGGTATGATAACAGGCAATATCTCATTCTATCACCATAACAACCCCTGGGTTAGGAAAGATAGATGTTTTCATTCCCATTTTGCAGAAAACTATAAATTAGAGTCCAAAAGACAAAGCAACTTCTATGAGTACACGGTTAATTTTTCAGAGGTAGGAAACAAGTCTCTCTATGCTCATATTGGACATTAATAAAGTATTGATTTTATGCTATTCTGTTGCTTTGAAAACTGGCAGTCCCTTTAAGTGACTTACATAAACTGCAACCAGAAGTCTGACAACAGGAACAACCCTTTCTGAATCACAGCAGGTAAGAAAGTTTGTACTTTACGTTCCAATGATATGACACTAATTAGCATGAAAGGAATCATACATGAAACAAAAGCCACTGAAAATTTCAAGTTGGAAAAAACTGAATCTTGGTAAAGAATATGAAGAAATTGAACCAGCGAAATATCAAAAATTAAGCAAATTAATGCTTACTGCTTATAAGAACTTCACTCTAACACTAAGAAGAAAGAAGGAGTTGTAAGAGGCACCCCAGTCTAATTGGAAAGTTTTTGTTAAGTTTCTTCTCCCAGGATTTATCATTTCAAAGAGGAGGTTAGCAAATGAACTGAGAAGTGAATCAACTTTGATTATTTTATGCAATTTCTTTATACTCTTGGCTCTTTGTAGCCAACAGTTTCATTATACTTGAAAAGTAAAATTCTTTTAGCCATACTTCATCAATTAATTGTTCAATGAAAGATAATTTCTCTCCTACTGCCTTTTTCCCTTGGTATGAGTTCATTACACCTAATTAAGGTACAAGCCTTGCCATACATGTATATACTCTTTGATATAATTATATACACTTCTGAGGTCAAGTTGAACTTAAGAGGAATCTTAGAGCAAAATTTAAAAAGAAAAGAGAGCTCAGGAGGAGGGACTTTTGAGCATATGCTCTAAAGGTTATGGGAAGAAAAAAGCAATATTTATTACAGTTATGTGCTCAACTTAATTATCTACATTCACCCTCTTTAAGGGAATTTTTAGGAATACTTAACACTCAGTGCAGCCAGCTCTGCGGTACATCCTTATTTACCTTCAGATCCAACACGAACTATCCCCTGAACTCAGGAATGATTCCCCATAACACTCACACACGACAGTAATTTTCACCCACTTAAAACTGCAATGAATTCAGTGCTTTAGAATAACTCAAGGTAAATTTCACACTTATGTCTTATTTAATGTAATGAGCCAGGAGCATGACTTTGGTGAGGATGGTTTATTCATGGAAGTCATGAATAAAAATTATATTTTTCAGATATATCTGGGGATGTAGCTGTGGAGGAGAAAAACCTGCAGATGGCTCTGGCTAGTGACCTTTTTCTCATACTCCATCTCAACTGTCCCCAAACCAGAGCACCGCTGGGATGCAGGCAGGCACCCAAGCCTGAAGCGCAAGGGGGCAGAGATAGGCATCTTGCAAGGTGTGCGGGGCTGACCCAAGAGCTTGACGATTTAAAACTGCGGGTGTGTCCATTTGGCCTCCACAGGGATCTTACTACTAGGATGGCATAAAAACCAGAGGTGAGGTTTTAGAAATGCAGACTTTACATATTTGGTTTTCTTGCTTGGGAATTTTGATTTATTCAACATTAGAACATTACCTGCAATGAAAACTACACTTATGATTGGCAATACTTAGAAAACTTAATGGTCACTCAAAATACCAGAGAATCCTTATCCTTTACTGTTGGAGATAAAAGTTTACCTCAAGAAATTCTTCAGGAAGTTATAAGAGTATGATCAGAGGTTCCTCTCTAAGGGAGCAACAAACTAACACCTCAAGCAATGGTGAAGTGGTGCTTTCTTGTTGTGTTAACACAGATGCCCTTTCCTGATGAAATCCAGGACGTGGTCTCAGTTTTAATGAGTTACAAGTTCATAACTTGAATTTTTCTTGTTTCTTTCAAGGAACTAAACCATTCAATTTCACTTCTACTCTTGTTATCTTGCACAGCACATATTGCTATGAAATGGGAGTCCTTGGATTTTAGGTGGATACCTGCTAATGGCAGGTTAATCTAAGCATATTGACATCCCTAATAATTTTATTTTGGTATTCTCTTTCGTTTAAGATTTAAAAGGACTTTGTAAGTGATTCAATCAAATTTTGTGGCAACCTTCAAAAAAAAGATAAGGAGGAAAAAGTCTAAGCCTCCTACATGTAAGCTCCGTGAGGGCACGGTTTTCACTGTATGAGTAACTTAAGCTCACTAGACATAATAGTATCTTTGACACCCAATAAATATTTACTTATGTTTAAAGATAAAATGTACAATTGTTCTTCCTATTTCATCTTTATTTTTCCCATGTCCTTAAACTAAAAAAGCTCCACTCTTACGGTTCCTTTATATCATTTAGTTATATATATATATATATATCACTAAAAAAATAACCCCCCCCAAAAAACCCAGTAAAACCTATAAGCTTAATAATATACTGCCATTTTCCAGGATATCTATCTATATTTTAAAACAGAAGCCCTGTCTTTATTTACATGGAATAAATGATCTAATTATGTAAGGTGCTTTGGATGGACTTCATCTGTCACATATTTAAGTGCTGAATTAATTCTATTCAGTATCACAGTAATAGTAATAGAAAACTGATATATATATATAAAATATACCGATATTTCCAATTTTGGAATTTTGTGCAATCTGGAAGATTCAGTGGGGATGTATTTGATGGCCAGAAGTGTCTTCTGAAGGCTATATAACCCATGCTATATAATATAGCAGAGAGAAAAAGATGACTGATTTTATTTCAAGTGAAGTCAAGTCTACAGGTAGTAGTAAACAATTTTTTGCTGTTCTTGCCCTAGGATAAACTAATCAGTCAACCCACACTGAGCCAGGAAAAGGTAAAATCTAGTCAGAATAAATGATGTGCTCATGTGCTTAAAAATCATCATGAGTTAAAAATTGATACAATTACTAGATCAGGTAGAAGTTTTAAGCAAGTAATATTTTAGTGATATTAAGGTACCCATAATATCCAATCACTTGCCTCAATTCTGTTATCTGTAAATGAAGATGATAATAACACCAACCTTATCTTGTTATTGTGAAAATTAAATTAATTAATGAATAGATCTGATGTGGCTGTGAGACAGTTTTCCTGATCAGCTCCTTCCTTCCTTCCTTCCTTCCTTCCTTCCTTCCTTCCTTCCTTCCTTCCTTCCTTCCTTCCTTCCTTTCTCTCTCTCTCTCTCTCTTTCTTTCTTTCTCTCTTTCTTTCTTCTGTTTCTCTATCATCTATCTAACTTGTACACTGAAATATTAGCATTTTTGTGGTATTGTCATGGTTATTTGAAATGGGCATGTGGATGCTATGCTCACTGTTCATGCTCTTCCAGTATAATCCTCATTTTCTAATGAATATGTTATAGCCACCATATTAATTAAGAATAAAACTTATAAGAACTGCATCTGAGAGGTTTAAAAGACTAGTAAAAAAAAATAAGAAAGATCAGAAGCTAAGAAAATATGGTGTCTTTTTTTGTGTTTTGTTTTCTTAGTTTTTTTTTTAAGTCATGTGCAACTTTTGATTATTTAGGACTTGATTATTTTGAATCATAAATCACCAAGACCTTCCCTTGCCTCTAGTTATCTTGCTGCCTGCTTTTCAGCCATTTCACTGATATGACCCAACATATGGCTGCCAACATAAGAGGTAACCAGAAAAAATGGAAGAAACTAAAGTGAATCATTTTGTGTTCTCTCTGCTTATAAGTATGGTTCAAGGCTGGAATGGATGAAGGTAAATTTTTGGTGAAAGTTAAATTTAAAGATTATTTCTATTCACACCACTATTTCGTTCTATTACAATAATTAATTGAAATTTCCTTGGACATAATTTAGTGGCTTAGATCTAGGTCTTAGAACTTAAATGCTAGACCTAAAATTTTACAGTTTAGAAGCCTTTATATCTTCATCTGGACTCACTTTGAGGTTAAGTGAATCATGTATATTTTCTGTATTAGTTTTCTAACTTACATAATAAGGAAATAATGTAAAGTTCATTTCTTAAGAGGATATTATAACAACAGAGTTTGTGAAAGACATTAGTGATATATTGTCCCACAAGTACAAATAATTACTCAGTACAATGCCTCAAGTTTATTACAAATGCATTGCGGGTAATCGTGCTGACTTCAGATTCATTCAAAAATGTATTTCTTCCAGACATTGCAAGGGCTTTGTGCTGTAATGTAAATTCTTAACAGTTTACTTCCCTAGCTTATCATCTCTATTTTAAGAATTACAGTGTAATTCTTCTTCCTTTTTTCATCATATCTCCTGAACACAGAGTACCTAATTCTATGTTATGCTAATGATCCAAGAAAAATTTTAAGACTCAGAAGCATGGTTCATGACTTACTGAGAGTTACTAAAATCAAAACCTTTTTTCATCAGGTGTTCTACATATAAATGTGTTATGGATATCTATAACCCTATAAACAGCCAATAAGCCTCTGCAATATGAAACAGGAGACAGTCAATAAGGCAACAGAACAACAAGTCACATGACATCCACATGCTTAATATATCTAAAATGAAAAGCCTTCTTACCTAGCATGCAAACACATTTGACAGCCTGTTCGGGGCTTTCAAAGAAGAGATCGCCACACCTCTGAAAGAAAAAAAAAAACAAACATCATTATTTTAAGATTTCATACCAGGATTTCCAAGATAACATGTTCATGCATGCTGACATTACCCTGACTTTTTTTCTACTCTTCATGTTTTCCTGGGTTATCTGAGTCTAGGAACTCAGGTCACGACCAGAGATTTCCCTGGTAGTAGAATACTTGAGAGGTACATTTGGACAGATTTTCCCCTCATGCCTCATGTTCCTGCCTAGAAGTGATTTTGTGTGCTCCTACGAGGAGTCATGGCCAGAGATGCACTCGGTGTCTAACGGTTCCTGTTTCACTGGAAGATGTGTATTCTATTCAACCTAATAATATGGGGTTAATCCTTCTTAAAATTGGTCCTTATATAGCTCCAAAATTATTCTAAACTACCTACTCTGCAATCAAGCACAGATATTATAAAGCACAAAGTTGGTAGCCTATGCTTAACTCTCTGAACTTGGGGTAGAAAGCAAATAAGAAAATGATGAAAAAGTGATACTTATAAGTGCTTCTCCTGCACCCAGGACTCATGAAAATACAATTTTCTTGTCTATGTCTTAGTTTTAACTTGCTTATTAAAAGTTTTGTATAAGGCAAACTCCAGAGATACATCAGTTATTTAAGAATAGGCTACATTTATATATGTGACTGACAAATGGTTAGTATATGAATATATTTAAAAATCCTCCAAATAAATAAGGAAATAACAAATAGAAAAAGATAAAAGACGTGAACTAGTAATTTGTGGAAGTAGAAACCTGAATGGTCAAGAAACCCAGAATATATTCAATCACTAAGAGTAATGACTAGGAACCAGCAAATTAAAGATAAAATGAGGTCTATTTTGAACTCATCGTTGTGGCAAAACTTAGAAATTTGGAAATAACAAGTGTTAAAATAAATATACAGCAATGAATACTTTCACACATATCGTAGTTACAATATGAAATGATAGGACAATTTTGGAGAAAAATTCACAAAATTTTATTAGGTTTCTACTTACTAATTACTAGATTTCAATGTAAGTTGGAATGTGCATACCCCATAACATAGTAAATCATGTAAGCTAATAACCAGAAAAATTTTCACACACAACTTTAATGTCTAGCTACAAAATAGATAAATAATAGGTTATTCATACAGTGGAATACCACATGGTGGTTGAAAGGAATGAATCAGGACTACAAATACTGTAAAGATATATGTACATCTATGTGTATAATAAGGCATACATAAATATTCAAATCATTTAATGTTCAAATCTTATAAATTATATGTTAAAATCATATAAAACATAGCTAATATTTAAATCACATAAAATAAAATGTTAAGCAAAAAGCTATCTTCATTTTTTATCCTGTTGAAAATATCTAAACATAGTGCATATTTTTTATGGATAAATTAATTTACAGAAACAACATAAAAACAGGCAATGAAGAGTGAACATCAAATGGAAGGAGAGGGAAGATATACAGAGTAATAAGTGCTGAAGGGCATTCAGGGGTCATCAGCTGTTTCTACAGAGTAGTTATCCCTCATCCATGAGTTTCAAGACCCCCACAGGATACCTGAAACCATACGTAGTACTGAACCCAATATACGAGTATATTCTGGTTTTTTTCTACACATACTTACCTCTGATAAGTTTAATTTATAAATTAGGCACAGTAAGATGAAAAATAACTAATAAAATAGAACTATTATAACAATATACTCTAGTAAAGGTTATATGAATGTGTTCTCTTTATCTCTGTCTCAGCAAACTAGCATGAATTTCTTTTTCCTTCTTCACAGTTTCACAGAAAGAAGATTCATTTTTATGGTATATCTTAGCAACCTCATACAGTATTTTTTCTTTCCCTAAGTAGAAAATCTTCACCTTTTTACTTAAAGAAAGCACTTTATGGCTACTCTTCGGCATATCTGAATTGCCAGCATCATTGCTCTTGCAATTCAGGGCCATGATTAAGTAAAATAAGGGTTAGTTGAACACAAGCATGAGATACCACAACAGCCATCTAATCATCAAGATGGCTACTAAGTAACTGACTGATGCGGAGTGTATAAAGCATGAGCATCTTGGACAACAGGATGATTCACATCCCTGGCAAGAAGGTACAAGTTTTCATCATGCTTACTCAGAACGACAGGCAATTTAAAACTTATGAATATTTAGACTTCCAGTCAAGATGGCATCATAGGCAGGCATGGCTCATTTCTTTGCACAATCACATCAAAAGTACAACTAAAACATAGAAAAACCACCACTCAGAACCATCAGAAACTGAGGTAAATAGAAATCTGACAACTACTAAATTAAAGAAACCACATCCATCCAGACTGGTAGCAGTGGCACATATATGGAATGGACTGGTCTCACACCTACGTGTGGTAGATAAAAATTCAGGAGAGATATCTCGGGAGTGATGAGTCCTAACCCCACACCAGGCTCCACAACCTAGGGTTCCAGGGCCATGAAGATAAGTCCCCACAACTCCTGGCTGCAAAAACCAGCAGGTATTGAGTCGGTGAATGAAACTGCTGGAGCCCCAAGCAGTTCCTTTTAAAGAACACACACATGGACTCACCTGCTCAGACTCACTTCCTCTGAGCTCCAGCACCAAGGTAGGAGCTTAAAAGGCATCAGTGGCATACTGGGAAAAACTGAAGTGTCTAGCATTAAGGCAAGCAGAGGTCATTGTCCCTTTTCTAAATAGTTCCCCCAACAGAGCCACAGAGCTGGCCAGCTGGTGCCATATCTGAGGCTCCATCAACCCAGCTAACACTGCTTTACCTGCCGTGGACATCCCCAGAGACTCTACCCCACCCAACTTAAGGGCCCACCCAACCTGCTTTTCCATATGAATGGCTGGTCTTGGCTCATGCTTCACAACTTCTAAAATCCTATCAAACAAGCAACAGCTGACTTCAGTGAGCCCCAGGCCCAGCACCTGCAGTAGCCAGCTTAGATTCACAGTTTGACTTTGCCCGGAAATCTCCAAGCCCAGCACAAGTAGCAGCCATCTCAGATTGCTTTGTACCTCAGCAGGCTAACCCCAGGCAAAACATAGATGGGGGTTGAACTTGGCCTGCACCACCTGAGAAACCCCAGGGCCAGAGCACCCAGTGGACAGCTACAGATCACATCTGAGCAATACCACCCTGCCCCTGCACAGTTGATCCTCCACGGAGGGCAGAGGATTGTAGTAAGTGGTCACAGCTGATCCTTGCAGCTGACTGGCTTGGGTAAAGCCATCCCATTGATCTGCCCACAGCAACCAAGGCTCAACTGCAAGAGGAGGGTACCCACGCAAAAGGCACAACTTGAGTTTCCAGCTTGGTTGATAGGGGAGGCTGCGCCACTGAACCCTACAGGACACCTACTACATTAGGCCATACTACCAAGACACGGAGTCAAAGCAACTCTAATACATAAAAACAAACACAGGGAGGCTGACAAAACAAGGGACAAAGAGCATGGCCTAAATAAAAGAACAAATCAAAACTCCAGAAAAAAATCTAAACAAAATGGAAATAAGCAATCTATCCGATGCAGAGTTCAAAACACCGGTTATAGGGATGCTCAAGGAACTTAGTGAGGACCTCAGCAGCATAAAAAAGACAGTCAGAAATGAAGGATACTCTAATTGAAATACAGAACAATTTACAGGGAAACAAGAGTAGAATGAAATAAGCCAAGAATCAAATCAATGACTTGGAAAATAAGGAAGCAGAAAACAACCAATCAGAGGCAGAAGAAGGAATAAAGAATCCCCCCCCCCCCCAAAAAAAATGAGGATAGTGTAAGCAGCCTCCGGGACAACTTCAAGATGTCTAACATTCACACCATACGAGTGTTAGAAGGAGTAGAGAAAGAGCAAAAAAATGGAAATATATTTGAAAAAGTAATGAAAGAAAACTTTCCTGATTTGGTGAAGGAAATAGACATGCAAGTCCAGGAAGCACAGAGAGTCCCAAACAAGATGGATGCAAAGAGGCCCACTCCAAGACACATCATAACTAAAATGCCAAAGGTTTAAAGATAAACAGAGAATCTTAAAAGCAGCAAGAGAAAAGAAGTGAGTTTCCTACAGGGGAGTTCCCATAAGACTGTCAGCTGATTTCTCAAAAGAAACTTTGCAGGCTAGAAGGGAATAGCAAGAAATATTCAAAGTCATGAAAAGTAAGGACCTACAGCCAAGGTTTCTCTACCCAACAAAGCTATCATTTTGAATCAAAGGGCAGATAAAGAGCTTCCCAGACAAGAAAAACTAAAGGAGTTCATCATCACCAAACCATTATTATATGAAACGTTAAAGGGACTTATTTAAGAAAAAGAAGATCAAAACTATGAACAATAAAATGGCAAAAATACATATCTATTAACAATTGAATGAAAAAAACCCCAACTAAACAAACAAGAAGAACAGAGACAGGATCATGGATATGGAGAGCATTTTGATGGTTGCCAGATGGGAGGGAAGTGTAGGGGAAGGGGTGAAGAGGTGAGGGGGTTAAGAAGTACAAATAGGTAGTTACAGAATAGCCATGGGGATGTAAAGTACAGTATATGAAATGGAGTAGCCAAAGAACTCATATGCATGACCCACAGACATGAAAAATGGTGGGGGGATTGCCTCAGGGAGGGGGGATGCTAGGTGGAGGGGGGCAAAGGAGAAAAAACCAGGACAACTGTAATAGCACAATTAATAAAATATAATTAAAAATAAAACTTATAAATTGTTTATTTCTAGAATATTCCATTTAATATTTTTAGACCATGGTTGATGGTGGGTAAGTGAAAGCACAGAAAGCAAAATTGTGGTAGGGTAGGGTAAGGGAAGAACTACTGAAATGGTTTGTTCCTTAAATTATTCTCTAAACTGTGGTCTACGCTTGAAATATTTAATAATAAGAAAGAATTGCTCCCACTGACAACACTGTGAATATAAAAATGACCCTTTGCAAACTGTTTCTTGGCACCTGTATCTGTCTT